TCAGACTCGGATTCAACAACCACAAACCTGTCTCTTATACACATCTAGATGTGTATAAGAGACAGGGATAAAGACCCTAAGGAACGTTTTAAAAAAGAACTTGTTGATATGTGTAGTAACTTATCCGATCACACTAAGAACATTGCTTTAGGTTTAATTCCTAGTAATCCTCGATCAGGTATACTTTATAATTACATAAACTTCCTAAACTACTTAAATCTAATCCTCGATCAGGTATACTTTATAATTACATAAACTTCCTAAACTACTTAAATCTAAACTTGACAAACACTCCCCCTCGGTTAATCTCGCTTCCGATAAGTCTAGATTGTTTGACTTAGTCAAAACCTACAATATCACACCCCCGGGTAGACCCATTGTATCCTCTATTGGCACTCTCACCGAATCCCTATCCGGTTTTATTGACTCCCTTATTCAACCCACTGTGCCCTCCATCCCCAGCTACGTAAAGGATACAACCCATTTCCTTAATTTACTCAGTGGTATTCCTGCCCTCCCTGCTGATGCCATTTTAGTTACTATGGACGTGTCGTCATTGTACACTAACATCCCTCATTCTGACGGCCTCCAGTCTCTCTAAACCTTTCTCCCCAAACACGGATTTACCCATGAACACATCAATGACATTATTTCTATTACTAATTTTATCCTCACTTACAAAAACTTCACTTTTAACGACACTCATTATCTTCAAGTTAAGGGCACCGCCATGGGCACTAAAATGGCAGCTATTTACACCAACATTTTCATGTCTGTTCTTGAAACCGATCTTCTGTCCTCGTTCCCCCTTACACCCCTATTCTATTGTAGATACATCGATAATATTTTTATGATTTGGCAACACGGAGTTCAAAACCTTGAGCGCTTCAAGAGTCACGCTAACAACTTTCACCCACACATTAAATTCACTATGGAACAGTCCCAATCTTCTCTCCCCTTTTTAGATGTTTTAGTTTCTCTTTCTAACCACCGCATCTCAACCTCCCTTTACACTAAACCTACTGACAGCCATTCTTTTCTCAATTTCGACAGTGCCCATCCTCTTCGCCTAAAATCATCTATTGCCTACAGTCAATTTTTATGCATAAAGAGGATTTGTTCTGAGCCAGATGACTACACTTTTCATTGTAATAAACTTCTTGGTTACCTCCTTAACCATGGATACCCCTTCAGCCTAGTTAAATCACAGTTTACTAGAGCTTCCCTCCGTTCCCGACAGGATCTTCTCTCTCCGACCACTAAAATCTGACTCCCAACGCATCCCATTGGTCATGGACTTCCATACTAACACTCACCCCTTATCCAAAATCATCTGTGATGACTACACCTAACTTAAAGTCGACAAGTCCATCGAACACTTATTTGACAGTCCTCCTCTACTCGCCAATCGACAGCCCCCGAATCTTAAATTTCTTTTGACTTCGTCACGCATAACCTTCCTACCACTGTCACCTGGCAATATTAAGTGCAATAAATCCCGATGCCTCATCTGCAAATGCATTAATACTAATCCTCTCATCAAACTCCCCCATTCTAACCTCCCTATACGCCCCTCTCCATTAACCTGCGATGCATCCCTCGTGGTATATCTCATCACTTGCGACATTTGCGACAAAGGATCGTACATTGTTGAGACTGGCACCAAATTCAGACTCGGATTCAACAACCACAAACAATCCATCCGCAACCATAGTAAGGGTTTCCCTGTAGCCGACCACTTCAACTCCCCCGGCCATTCTATAAATAACATGCGCTGTACTCTCATTGCCAGTAATTTCCCATCCCTTAATAAAAGGCGCAATTCAGAACTCAGACACATAATCAAACACAAAACCCACATATTCGGACTTAACAAGGACCTCGGTATGATCAGTGACTTTAATTTTCCTTATTCTTAATCCTTTTTAGTACCGTAATTCATATGACTATTATTATTATTATTATTATTATTATTATTATTATTAATATTATTATCATTACTATTATTATTACTATTATTATTATTATTATTATTATTACTATTATTTTCATTATTATTATATTACCTATATAATTTTTTTATTTTAACGTATAGACCCATTGACTTATATATTTTCCAGCACATCTGTATTTTTTTTGATTGCCTATTTTTGTTTAGTATGCCTTTTTATTCAGTCATTATGTAGGCCTATATATATATATATATATATATATATATATATATATGTATATATATATTTCTGTATTTCTCTTTATCAAATAAGAGTTTTGTATTTCCGCCTTTCTGGCTCTTTGTTATTTGGCTGCTTGTTAACATGTTTTTGCTTATTTGCTATTTATCATGTTGAAGGGGGTTTAATCTAAGCGGTTCCTTTATTCTATGTCA